TACTGTAAAAATTCGAGTGTAAACCCCCTCGATGCGAACGATTTTGAATGTCTCGGCATGAAACAGATGGTGATAGTACTTACTTTCCAACGAACTTCCGAAACATGTCCACGACTGAGCCGTTCTGCCGCTCCATGATTTCTTCTATCAATTCACGCCTCTTGTTGAGGTAGTCCCCATACAGGGGATTGCTTCCATGATTGTGGTCTTCCGACATTATGTCATGGTATAACCTGTATTGGTTATCGTCCGCCCTCGCACGCGCCATACACCCGTTGTGGTGATATTCCACACATTTGAACGTGCGTTCCCCCGTAGAAACGCGTTGCTTCTCGTCATGGAACCAGTAACCCTCGCACTCATAAATTCTGCTCCCTTCCCTCTGCCCCCAGTAGATTCTACTTTCTTCCGCCGGTTCTTCGTCAAAGTCGTCGCCGAGGAGGCCGAGCCCGAGCAGGTCCATGGCGCAGCAGCCGCAGCAGCGTGGGGAGGAATGAGACCGAGAATTGTTCGCGAGATCCCACCTGTACTCAGGTGAGTGTCGATCTCGATTTGTTCTCTCGATCATGAGAAATCGATTCGAGGAGCGGAAGTAGTCGACGCCATCTTGTGCATGTAGTCAGTGTTTATGTCCGAGCAAAGATGCGTGTGAAGGTGTGTCTAAATTGTTTTTGTAATTTTGAATGTAATTGTTGTGTTGTGAAGTACCAGTGATCGGGAACACTGCGCGCCGAAATGTAACTCAAAGTTAATTGTAACTCATTTTGTGGATGCTTCATGTTTGGCAGTGCTTTGTGTCATACATAAGGTTATATGGCCTCTATAAAGTGTTGCATAGGCTCAACTAAAGTTCGTCAGTTAACCAACTTTGTCTTGATGAACGTTGCTCTAAATTGACCCGTCCCATTCGGCATGTAAGGCATGTTGTTACGTTAGATAGTTGTTTAACCAAAACTTCTTGTTTCAGGCTTACAAAGAGTCTCCCTCGCTTTGTGGATGTGTGGTGAGAATACGAGACGGCTCGGCACGCATCGCATCAGTTCCATTTTGACAGCCCGGGGCGAAGGTAAGTAACTTTATTTAAATTTGGTTTTTAAATGACAGTAAATTTAAACGTACAACTATTCATTAAATGGCGAGAGACAATTTTTGTACTTAGACCAGATGTGTCTTTGTGCACATCTAAATCAAG